AGGCGGGGCCGCGGCCCGGACGTCTGGTTTAGAAATAGCGTTTGGGGAGCCTTCGTGGACCCTAAAGCACCAAATAAGTCAACGTTCGTAGCGCTTCCTGTTCCTCAGGAGTTCCAAACAGGTATTGCAGCACAAAGAATTAAATTATTACCTCTAGTGCCTTCTGCAGCCACTGGCATCATCGCTTCTGTAATACTGTTTCCAGAATTATACACAAATAAAATTACGTAAATGCTTAAAACAACAACATCATAAACTTCTTCCTCCCCCTCCGCAGTAGCGATGGCGGCAGAAGAGCCCCGGCAGGGAGGGTAACATCCCCAGCAACAGCTGAGCCGCGACACACTACCAAAAGGTCAGCGGTGTTGGGCTGAAGAAGGGGAACAATCAAGACAAGAAAGCAAAAGGCCAGGCCGAGATTTGGGGTGTTTACCAGCCCTGAATTCAACAGGAGGTGGCGAAGTTGTTGGAGGACGGAGCCCAAGTGCCCCAGTGATGGTGTTGTGTACAAGAGCTCAGGCTGGGACACGGTCCAAGCAGAGTCAACCAAGCGCGTGGGCTCCACCAGCCACCCCTCCCAGCTGCACAGGCAGTTTCTGCCCAGGACAGCTACCAGACTGCAGGCAACCCTAACTGGGATACCACAGTACCTCCTTTTACTGAGGGAGATTCCCCCTTTCCTCAAGTTAAAAAAAAAAAAAAAAAAAAAGCATTATTTTGCCCAAGGGAAGAAATTGAAAGAAAACTACAAGTTTACATAATTGAGGCAGACGGAGAGGAACAGGGGGCACCATGGGTGTTCGACCCATTTAATTTGAGTCCTCATTGGAGTGAAAGGGACACCCATCCCCATGGAAGCCAATGCTCTCTCAAGGTTGTTCCCCTGCCACGCTAGCGTACCGATGGGGTGTGAACTGTATGTGGATGCGAAGGCCGTTGAGGACACCATCCAATTAAAAGCTTGCCAGCCACTACAGTAAAGGCCTCTCCTGGAGGAGGCTGGAGACAAAAGCTGAATTTTGTAGGGGAGATGACCTGGGGCAGGAGAAGGCTTGTCTATTATCTGTCTCTGGAAGGATTTGCAAACCCTTCATCTTTGAGAATCTCCCCCACGGCTGATTAACCACAGACAGAAACCACGTCTGGCGAGACCAGGAGTGCAGGCCTCCTGTAATCTTGCAGAATTCAGAGACAGACAAATATCGGCTCATACAGTGGGGTTTTATTACAAAATATTACTGTAATAAACCAGATGTCAGCTCCGATGAAAATTATTTAATCTTGATGGAGAATTTTTGGCAAGTTACTACAAATGCTTTTAGGGAGAACATGTATTTCAAATCATTTCCAGTCATAGTGAACTGAAAAGGGAAAGCTG